AGAGAACGCAGACAAAGAGGGAGTTTGACTAAAGTTCGGCGTATGGCTGGCCGTGTGGCAGCGCAGAAGGAGCTGGGAGACGGCAGCACCTGTGTATTACCACCGCCCAGCCCCTGCACTTTTAAGCGGAGCGAGTGACACGCTACTATAGTTGCGGAACCACACCTCGCACAGACAAGGACCAGGGCAAACGGAGGTCAGTGTGAAGGTTGCTTTTGAAGAGCAGGGTCCGCTCGCCTGAGATTTCTGGTTGTTTCCCCTAACACTGTGTCGGGAAAGCCTGGGATAATGGTATGCTTTGTTGGCGCAAAAATAAACATCTTGGTCTACAACGGTGTCCACACGTCAAATGGAACCGTTTCATTGGTTCTTCGCAAGAGAGCATACTGTATTCAAAACTCGTCCAAATAGAACGCGCTGGACATCTGCTGACATGTGAAACAAAGGAGGTGGTTATGATACCTGTAGGAACAACAACAGTAAAACCGCTGTACAGCTCAGTCTGAATACGATACCCTTTCCTGGAGCACCCAATCGCCATATGGCAGCGTATGCTCATTCCAGATGCGAATGACGGAAACTGTTCACATGCACTAGTAATATCCATGCAAATTCGGGCCCCTTCAAAATTTCTGGACCTAGCTTTACAAAGAAATGTCGCGTGAAGTGAAAAGCACAGAAATAAGGAGAGCAGGGTACTAGAGGCGGCAAGTTTTTAACCTAACTCCCATTTCCAGTGAGCGACATCATTGGCGCGCCTCCTCGCCTTCCCTGACAGTGTAGGCGGGTATAGAAGTCGTGGACCAATGGCGCGCTACCCTACACTGACACGGGCTATATCCTTGAGACTACCTGAAATTAAGCTTTGTAATTGTTGGCGGAGGATTTGCTCGCTCTCACTCCGATGTCATTGCAGCGTGAGAACAAAAACTGCAGGGCGCAAAAGTAGAGCTAGAGTATGAGATAGTCTTTGTAATGGAGCAGGTTCCTCTGTAGAGCACCTTGCAGACTTCAGTGCAACGAGTCTAATTCTTATGAGTCTAACCAACATACTGTTACTGAACCCATGTAGAAGTCGCATGTGAAGAAGAGTTACTGCACGGACTAAGTGATTCCTACCGCATGCTTAATGTACCTTTGTTTGCAGACATCTGAAGTTGTTGCAACACTGAAAGAATTGAGACGTTGTACGAAGGACGTCACAGCCAAACCTCAGCAACCCCACAAACCCCTCAAGTCATTGCCTCCAGTCCATAACAACCCTGTAGCCGAAACTTTCCCTAAACCATGCACAACGATTACTCGTCCGCAATGTCGAAAATCCATCACCTCTTCGAAACCCGTCCCATCCTCCAAAGCAGATTCGTTATCGAACGTCGGCAACGCCACGGAGTGCAATCCAATAGGTCGGTTTCGTTCAACACTATCAATCTGTGTGAAGTACACGTGGTTGAAATCTATTATATGTATTGTCTTAAAATAGTATGGCATCTCCTACCGTAGAAAAAAGTTGTGGACTGATCGGCGCAGAAAAAATACTGCGGGTTGATCGGGGCAGAAAAATCCTTCGAGATGTTCGCGACAACAGAATCTTCAGAAGTAATCACTGCTACTTTCTCAGTGAACCCATCATCCACTCTTAAGCGGTGAACAGGAAGGGGGTGGGGGTATGAGGCAATGAAGATGAAGTTCCTGTCTCCGCCCATATCAATGGCTCAATGGAGTAAGGTGTGCGTCTGAGCAGTTGGACCGATACCCTGTTGATATAACAGTCTAGCAACTTAGGGGATATCCTGTGAGGAAGCTAGTCTTTCTGGTCTGGCTTGTAGATGTGGCTCCGCCTGACACAAGATGCATATTCGATCACCATTCCATTACGCAGTCTACCACTGCTCGAAAGGTGCATTCAGGGCACATCGTTGTTGAGAATTCCCCAACAAGGACTGTCGTATTTGGCCGCTGGGAG